ATCGACGAACTTGTTTGCCTGTTCAAACAAGCCTCTTACCTCATAATTAATTTGAAATTCATAACGAAAACATGTGTATATCTATTATACATAATCGGCAAATTGCGTATTATGCAATTGATCGTTTACCGTTTCAAACAATGAAAAATTGTAATTTAACGTTTAGTGTCGCGGAAACTTCCAATGTTTTACGAAATTCGGTCCAAGAATGTGGTCAATTATTCAAATTAAGGTAAATTAGAAGAGAAATGGTCACTCTGTATCCAATTAAAAATTTTTTGGCCATTTTTATCTAACTGTGAATTTTTGAATACGATTAAAGTAAAATCCCCTCGAGGTACTTAAAAAAATCGCCGTTTTTTTCTTCGCCACCCTTCGAGTGTCTTAATAAGGGGGAAAAAATTTCACACAGTCCGCATATCGGTTTCGGCTTAACTCCCTCCCGTGCAAGGACAATAAAAGGATGACAAAGACATCCAGATACCCATTTTTTACCCTTAAACGTTGAAAAATTGCACAATTTACCAAGGATAATACGTTTAACCCCAAATTTTCTCATGGTCTTTAACGGGAGGTAACAACATCATTTACTAATCCCGGTATCATCTTTCAACCCTTGAGGGGTTGCTTACAAAAAAAACGGTTCGAGGGTCGCGTGAATATTTTTTTTGGGTGATTTCCCTTAATATGTGGTAAATGGTCGTGGGTCGACGATTTTTTACTTCAAACCCGGTTTGTGCGAAGGATAATAAAGTCCAAGCTGGTATTGTGTAAGAATAATATAAAGTGCTGTATTGAAACATTAGATCATGGTAATATGTTTCAGTCTCGTGGTAGCGCTGGTTGCGATTTATAGAAAACCTCGCCGGAACGATAAATCACAACGACCGAATGAAATATTTGAATTGTTTCGTTGTGTTATTGTTAATTTATCGGTAATTGTCGAGGGTGGGGTCCAGCATTTTTATTCAATAATCGATTGAGGACAGTTTTTAAGACCTTTATTGTAACAAACACTCAAAAGAAAACACTCATTTGCATTGTACTAATTAACAAACTTTTCATCATTTAATCCTATTACCACTTCAAAAAAGTGGCACAATTGTCAAAACTAGGTTCAAAAGTAGCTCTTATCATTTTTGCAGTAAATGAATTAATTTTTCATCATATAATCTTCTATTGCCACTTCAAAAAAAGATAGCACAACCGTCAAAACCAAGTTCAAAAGTAGCTATTATCATTTTACAGTAATATTTTGCCAATAATATAAACAATATTTAATAACCGAAAGAAAAAATAAAGAAAACGGTGTTTTTCATTAAATTAATTAACTTTTCATTAAAAAATCTTCCACTGCTACTTAAAAATAAGTGGCACACCCGTCGAATCTTAGTTCAAAAGTGGCTATTACCATTTTGCAGTAACATAAAAAATTAATTAATTTTTCGTCATATACCTAATCTGTTATTGCCATTTCAAAAAAGGTGGCACAACTGTCAAAACTAAGTTCAAAATGAGTTCAAAAGTAGCTAGTAGCATGTTTGCAGAATATAAAATATTAAAAAAACACAGTTTTTCAGTGAATTTATTAATTTTTCATCATATAATTTTCTACTACCACTTCAAAAGTAGCTATTATCATTTTTGCTGTTATATTTTACTAATATTATAAACTATGTTTAACAAAAAAAAATAAATAAAGAAAACATTATTTTTCATTAAACTAATTAACTTTTCATCATATAATCTGCTACTGCCACTTCAAAAAAAGTGACACACCCGTTGGAATTTAGTTTAAGTAGTTATTCTCATTTTTAAGTAATATTTTACCAATATTATGAACTACCAAGTAAATTTAATAAAATCTTGAAACTTGCCAGTTCAAAATTGGCATAAATATGATGAGCTCTGTTTGATTTCCTATCTGACTGTGTTTTTCTATTAGAAAAAAACTCGTTTACTAGTTTAAAACTGTTCAAAAACCTGTTTACCAATTTAATTAAACAGTTCAAAAGTTTTCTACTACGTTTGGGAGTAATAAAAGAAAAAACTTCCAATATCTAATTTGCCAATTCAAACTTCTTTTCAAAATCTTTTCCACATTTCTGAATACTCAAATTTGTTCGGTTTTTTCGGTTCATCGTTGTAATTTGTTGTTCAAAAATTTAACAGAGGCAAATACTAGCCGACTTGCCACTTCAAAAATAGCTTAATCATAGTCAATAATCTTTAAATTCAAAAGTTGTGACCAAAAAACTAGCTTAACAAGCTTAAAATTTCCAAACATAGAAACAAATATAAAAACATGACAGTTCAAAAAAATAAAAATATCCCAAACTGCTTTGATTATTATCCTAAATAAACTTACAAACTTAAGAACAATAGAGTTCAAATTTGTGTTTGCAAATAGCAATGATGCAATTTTAAAGATTTTTACTGGAACATAAACTGGCAGTGCCAGTTCATAAATGCCTGATTTTGTCTTTTCTGAAACGGTTTTTTAAACTGGTAAATATTTTCCTGGTTTTGTTTGCGTTGTTGATTATCTGAAACGCTCCTAAATTGCTAGTTCAAAACCTAGATTATCATCCAGCGGCCTCTCAGCAAGGTGAAAAAAAAAAGAGCGTCAATCAACAATTTAACCAAACGGGAGTCCCATCATCAACCGGATTCTGATGCTGGAAGCGACAAAGAATTTGCCCGAATCGGTGTTATTTTTTCACTTCCTCTCGGCGAAAGAGAGACAGAGATGTGAACGAACTCGAAATTAATTATTAAGATATCGGAATTATTCCTAAAAACTTTCTAAACTCATGTATGGTATGTCTGTGTACGTATTTTTTCTCTCTTCGTTCGTTTTTTTTTTGCCTCTCGTCAAGTGGTGTTTATCGTCGTGGAGACTATTCAAGTGGTTTTTTGATGGAAAACAGACTTAACGTCAAAAGTAACGCCCATTAAATTGCTTCGTAGTGTTAATAAGTTGTTTACTTTAGCCTCGAATATGAGAAATATTATCCACAATGTGCTCGGTCATAGATGAAAAACATAAAATGAATTAAAATACAGACACTCACTATCTTCACACATGTGTTGATTTTATACGTCGTGTTATCTCTTTCTCGCCTCGTTCCTCTTTTATTTGTTCTTTTCTCTCGAAATTATTCAAATTAGACGCAATCACGGCTACCGGAAAACGTCAATTGCTACTTCAAACGTGCCAAATTTCGGAATAAACAACAGTTAAATAAACGTCGAGGATAACTGTAAACTTGACGCGAAAAATACACAAATTTTCCCAAAAAAAAAATAATACAACGATCTGGGTCAAATACAATTCAAATTATGTAAGGCAGAAATCCGTCATTGTGAATTAAATTGAACCAGATGGAGCAATATCGAATGACATGCAAACACATGGTGAAGGAGTGGATGCCGGAATTTCCAGAGCTGAAGCCGAGTGACTTTCGATGGGCGAGCTTCCGTTAGGGTTAATCGAACGGAACTAATTTCCCTTATTTTTTTACTAAACTCGAGAAGACGATTACGACCCTTTTTGAGGCCACCCTTTTGCCCAACAAAAGGATGAAGTGGTCGGACGCTTTTGATTACTGTCAATCAATAAACCACCGGGTCACGTCTTTGTTAGCCTCGAAAAATAGAAATATTTCTTATAAATCCAATATTACGCAACAACGAAACGAAATAACATTTAAATAAAGATTGATGATTCAGATGTTACATTCTATAACAATAAAAAACGTGATTACGGTTTTTGTTACCACTTCACCAAAAATTTCCTCTTATTATACATATGTTGAAATAACAATGTGCTCAAAAATCAAACGTTTTTGCTAATTACTAAAAAAAATTTCTAAGTTGCCAGTCAATTTTTTAAAAACTTACTCACATGCCAGTTCAAAAATTTCTTAATTGCTCAATTAATAAAAACCTTTACAAGGTCCTAGACAGTTCAAACGACAAAAATCAAAATATGCCAACTTACCTGTCTTGTATAGTTCAGGTTTAGCAGCTATCACAATAATAACAGCTGTACTATTAGTTGCCAGTTCAAAAATGCTTCACAATAAATATTTGTAGGTTTAGAAGCTATAACAACAATAATAATTGCTATACTATACTAGATGCCACTTCAAAAATGCCTCAAAATAAGTATTTGTTTCATAGTTAATTCTGGTTTTTAAATTCCTCAATAAAAAACTTCCAATTTCATATTTAAAAAAGCTTTACTAGTTTATTGACAATTCAAACAGTAGCTACAATTTTAATTAAATTTAAAAATAACTCTGTAGTTGTCATTTCAAAAATTAAAATATGCCAACTTGCCTGTGTTAAATTTGACTTGACAGACTTTGACAGTTGATATAATAAATGTTCGTTGCCAGCTCAACATTTTTAAAATTAATCTCTATTTATCTTTCAAAATTTTTCAATTATTAACAAAATCTGACATTTCAAACAGTAGAAGTTCAAATTTATTGTCAATTTTTATAATTACTGCCAGTTCAAACAAAAAATCAAATTGTTTACTTAAATTTTAATTTAATAAACCATTTGCCAGTTCATTCTCATAATTCACAACAAGACATTTTAGATATCAGAATTTAATTTTTTTGTTTAACAAATAAATAAAAATCTAGTAATTTATAACAATTATCCCAGCTAATGCCACTTCAGTTCAAACGGTTCAATTAAACCACAATTCAGTTAAATTTTCTGGCTTAAAATTTGATTTCATAAAAGACAGATTACCAGTTTATCAGTTCAAAAACAGTCTTTTTTTTAAACAGCACAGTTTGCAAGCTATTCTACAATATTGCCAATTTATTGCCTGCCAATTCAAACCAATATTTTAGTTTTGTTGGCAAATTCTGCCAGTTTATCACAGTTCACTCTGTTTAAAAGTACAAAATTCAAGAATCAGCGTTTTTGGTAAAGTTTTATAATGTTGCCAATTCAAGCGGTAACAAAAATGGCCTTACCGGTGCTGAAGGCCGCGATGGGCAGCTGCCTCGATATGCTCTCGGCGACTTCCGACGTAAGTCCATAAATCCCCAACAGTTCCCTCATCGTATTCATCGCGTACTCCCTCATGTCACTAATCTGTCCCTGATGCTGTCCTCCGGCTTCCGAAACGTGCGGTTTTGCCAATGTATGTATCGAAAAACTCGACGGAATTTTACTCTCCGCTTCGTCGTCATTATACTCATCCGTATCGCTATTATTCGAATTTTCGCTATCGTTCGTTTTGCTCAAATCCATTGGCGAGTATTTGGCATCAACGACGACCCTCCTCGTCGCCAGCGTCTTCCTTCGTCTAACATTGTTATTAATATTATCATTGGTGGCAAATTCGCCCAAATTGAGGGCGGTTTCCGGCGTCTCCGGATACGAAACATTCGAACATCGCGGTTTAAAATTCTTCCTTTTGTTGCGTTTTGGTTGATCGGAAGCTTTCGGCGAACTGGTCGGATAGGTTTCCGGTTCGGAGTCGCTCGAATTGGCCGCGGAATTGCTGAAGACCTGGCTAGTGTGGTACCGGTCGTAGGTGTCGTTTTCGGCGGTCATTTTGGCCGCCACTTGGTCTGTAACAGAGTTGAAGAAAGGCAATAAAAATGCAATTTACATAAAAAAACACAGATGGGTGGAAGGAAAATTATGATGAGATAACCACGCTACTGAAACCTATTAAAATTCAAGCTTCGATAGAACCAGTCGCACCAGTTAATTAATTAAATTAAGTAATTAAAATGAGCTTAAATTTTGTGCGGATTGCGTGAAGAGGACTCTATTATTAGATGGTGATTAATTGGGATTTACAAGAAATGTGTGAAAATGACAAAGATGAGAAATTTTAAAAAGCAATCTACAAAAAAAATCAATCAAAAATGCCACTTCAATTTGTGTTATTAACAACATTCCAGCGAGAATTTGCGTCCTAAAAAATTTCCTCTTCAAACACGACAATCAATTTTCAATTGCTCTGACGTTCCGATTTAGTTTTTTTCTCATTGAGCAATAATTTGCCAGTTGCCGGTTTCAAATTTACCGAATAAACAACTTGCCGGTTCACAAATAGCATTCATTTCACTCTCAAACATTTGATATTCTAGCTTTAGTATATATTTCTTTGTTTTCCGTTTGCCGTGAGCAAATTAGTTTTCTAAGTTAAACGTTAACTATATTGTTCATTCATAATATTAAAGGTTTGCCAGTTCAAAAATCGTACTTTTAAACTTTTGTTCATTATTCGGTGTTTTTCTCGTTATGACTATAAGAGCCAATTCCATAAAAACAATTTCAAGAAACGTCGATTGTCGTAAGCAAACTAGTTAATTAGTTAAATTATCTCAATTCATAGTTCAACCAGAGTTCATTTTTCAAATTTTTCATGCAATACAACAAGTTGCCAGTTCAAAAATCGCTTGCAAATAAATTGTTTCATATCCTGTACTTACTGTTCTCAATGTCGGTGTTTGTCTCACTTAATAAATAAATTGCCAGTTCATAAAACAATAAACAATTATTGACAACTTGAAATTATAAATGACAAAAACATGAAAATTGTGTTTTTCGTTTCCTTATTCTCTCTTATTTTCTCCTCTTTTTTTACAATCTTAATACAAAAAATTTGCAAGTTTTAAATATTTTCTTGCTGTTAAATTTGTGAGTTTTATGATTTCTGATTGCGCTACAAAAGTAGTTGGAACTACCATTTCAACAAAGCGTATTTTTCTATGTCATCTTTTTATTAAGCTTTGAAAAAAGTTTCCGATCTGTTTAAATAATGATTAGTTTTATAAATTCTGTCATCGCTAATCGCATCACAAAATTTGAATTACAATTTCAAAAATCTATAGGGTCGAGGGTAGTGAACACCTTTTGTAGTCTTTTGCTGCTTTACTTTTACTATTTTCTTCTCAAATTATCATTATCATATTAAATATTTCTTTTTTCTTTGCTCCGTGGTTCTTTTGTCTTCTCCTCATTTTTCATTAACTTTTTCCTCTGCATTTCGATAACTGACTTTATATATTATTGTTAAATTTTTTACTTTTTAAAATTTTTTCCAACTTTCTCCTATTACTTTTCTTTTAATCAATAATCAATAATAAGAGTTTTCAATTTTTTTCTTATTTTCTCTCAAAATTTAAAATATAGAAATCTTTGCAAGTTTCTTTATTATCTCCT